TCATTGGGCCTTTTGAGGTGCTTTAGAGGATTGGAGAGGTGGCTTATGAGCTTCTTTGCCACCTAGTTTGTCGAGTGTGCATCCGGTATCTCATGTTTCTATTCTCCGGAAGTATATTGGAAATCCGTTCATGTTTTGGATTTCAGCACGGTGCAGTTGGATGATGAGTTGACTTATGATGTGGAGCCAGTAGTTATTTTGGGTCGTCAGGTTTGACAGTTGAGGTCAAAGGATATAGCTTCAGTGGAAGTGCAGTGGAGAGGTCGGCCCATGGAGGAGGAAACATGGGAGACCGAGCGGGAGATGCAGAGCAGATATTCTCACATGTTTGAGGCTTCAGGTATGTTTCTTGACTCGTTCGAGGACGAACGTTTGTTTAAGTTGGGGAGGATGTAACGACCCGACCAGTCGTCGCATGAGTTACCGCTCTGTTTCCCCATTTCTGCTTTTTTATGCTTTGTTTGTTCGTGTTATGTGGTATCAGGCTGGTCGGATCGAATCCGGAATGATTTTGGTAAGGTTTGAAACACTTAGTCTCTTTTGAGGAAGCTTAAGTTGGAAAAGTCAAACAGATGTTGACTTATGTGTTAGAGGGCTCGGATGTGAGTTCCGATGGTCCGGTTAACTTTGGGAGGTGATTTGGGACTTAGGAGCGCGATTGGAATGAGTTTTGAAGGTTCGGAGTAGATTTAGGCTTGAATTGGCGAAGTTGATATTTTGGCGATTTTCGGTTGGTAGGAGAGATTTTGATATAAGGGTTGGAATAGAATTCCGAGAGTTTCAGTAGTTCCGCTGAGTCATTTGGGATGTGTGTGCAAAATTTCAGGTTATTCGGATGTGGTTTGGTTGGATTTTTGATCAAAAGCGGAATTCGGAAGATTTTGGAAACTTAAGCTTGAATCCGATGTGTTTTGGTTGATTTGATGTTGTTTGAGGTGTTTTGAAGATTGGAGAAGTTTGAATAAGGTTTTGGGATATGTTGGTGCCTTTGGTTGAGGTCCCGGGGGCCTCGGGTGAGTTTTTGAAGGTTGAATGGATCATTTTAAGTTGAAGAAAATTGCAGAATTTGGTTTCAGCTGTTGCAGGTATTTTACTCTTCGCGTTCGCGAAGAGTCAGTTGAGGAAGGTGGAATTTAAGCCTTTGCGTTCGCGAGGAAGGCTACGCAATCACGAAGGGCTAAGTGGTTGTGCATCGCGTTCGCGTGAGTGTTGTCGCGTTCACATAGAATAAATGGGCAGCTGAGATTCAGGGCAATTTAACTCATCGCGTTCGCGATAGGGGGAACACGATCGCGAAGGTCTGTCTGAGTAAAGCATCGCATTCGCGATGGGGTGGTCGCGATCGCGAAGGAGGAATTTTGGTCAAGGTATTTTTGTGCTTCGCGAATGTGAGGCTTTGACCGCGTTCGCAAAGAAGTTCAGGCCTGGGCAGAATGTTTAAATACTCGTCTTGTCCGCGATTTTGGGGTTTATTTCCTCCATTATTGGTCGTTTTTGGAGCTTTTTAAAGGGGATTGAAGAGGAATTCAAGGGGAATCACTTGGTGGTAAGATTCTTGGACTTAAAACTCGATTCTAATGTTAATTCCACCTAAATAATCATGGAAATTAAGCCAAAAATTGAAGAACTAGGGCTTGGAAATTTAGACTTTTGATTGGGGATTTGAAGGACCATTTGAGGTCAGATTTCAGAACTTTTGATATGTATGAACTCGTGGGGAGATAATGAATCTATGAATGTAAAATTTATTGAATTCCGACATGTGGGCCTGGGTGTCAGGTTTTGGTAATTTTGGGATTTGTGTCATATTTTGATTATTTTTGCTTGGGCTTCGTTCCCTTAGCATATTTTGACATCCTTGTTCTGATTTTGGATAAATTCGACACGAGTGGAGGCCGATTCAAGGGGCAAAGGCATCGCGAGCTAGAGATTTGACCGGTTCGTGGTGAGTAATAATTGTAAATGATGTTTAGAGGGTATGAAACCCCGGACTTGCACATCGTAGTGCTATATTGAGGTGACGCACACGCTTGATGATAAGCGTGGGGTCTTGCACTGTTGGGGATTGCGACTTAGTCCGTCCCGAATAACTATTTTACTGCGTATTTGAATGAAATCTATTTGCAATCATCATGATTTGGGTTGAATGCCATATTTGGGCCTTGTGCCAACTATTTGAACCCTTCGGGGATTTTTACTGGTATTTCCTCACTGTTTTGACTTTATACTTGAACTCAGTCATGGTATTTCACTGTTTTTCATATTCAGCCATATTTACTCTATTTTAACACTTACATGATCTTTTAAATGATATTTTCTGGCTGAGAATCATGTTTTACTATTGCCCAAGTGGCTTGTGAGGATTTTGACTGAGTAAAGCCAAGGGCCTATGCTGTGAGGAGACATTTGATATTGATTATGAGGCCGAGGGCCTGAGATATGTATTCCACGAGGTGTCTTAATTGATATGAGGCCGAGGGCCTAGTGATGATGCCACGAGGTGGCTTGATATTGCGCTTGGGCCGTAACGGGCCCCTCTAGGAGTCTGTACACCCCCAGTGAGCGCGGGTACCCATTGTGATGTGATATTGAGCCCGAGGGCTTGTGTTGTTTTATGCGATTGCCCGAGGGGGCTGGTATTGTTATATGTGATTGCCTGAGGGGCTGGTATTGTTCTATGTGATTGCCCGAGGGGCTGGTATTATTCTGAGATGTTGCCCGAGGGGCGGATTTGTTGATACTGTGCCCGAGGGGCGAACCTTTATGTGTTTAATTTCATAATTAAATGTCAATTACATGTTTAATTGTTGAAAAAGGCTTTTTAATGAAGTTAAATTGAGTTAAAGTTTTTTTACCTATCTTTCACTAGTTTACTGTTTTTAATGGGTTTACTGCTTCATTATAGCATGCTTTTGTGCCTTACGTGATTTCCTGCTTTCAGTCTTTATTTATGATTATTACTCACTGAGTTGGAGTACTCACTTTACTTCCTACACCCCGTATGGAGATTCAGGCGTTGCGCTCCTGCCAGTGCGAGTTGAGAGCTCCTGACAGTTTTCGGAGTCCACGAGGTAGCTGCTTGGCGTCCACAGTCCCGTGTTTCTCCCCCTTATTATTTCTATCTCTTTATCAGACAGTTTGTAATAGTTTATAGACTTCTCATACTTGTATTAGAACTTGTAAATGCTCATGACTAGTGACACCCCGATATCGGGCTATGTTGGGTTATTTCCGCGAATTATGCTATTATCTGTTAACTTTGGATTATCTTATCATGCTTAGATTTATTTCTTATAGTTTAATTGTTAATAATTGGATATGGGAAGTGTCGGCTAGCCTTGTCTTCACGAGAGGTGCCATCACGACCAGGTCCGGGTTTAGGGTCGTGACAAAAAGAGAGCAGCAATTCTACCATTGACAGCCATTAAAAAACTTTGAAGCTTTGAATTCGAATTTGTGTTTTCAAAAAACAATGTTTGTTTGAATTGGATGTTGTTGCAAACAATTGGGAATTCTCTCTACGTCTCTCTCTATCTCTCAATCCCTAATTCCAGTAATGTAAAGCAAAGAAAAAGAGAGCAGCAATTCTACCATTGACAGCCATTAAAAAGCTTTGAATTCGAATTTGGGTTTTCAAAAACCATTTTTTGTTTGGATTGAGTGTTATTGCAAATAATTGAAAATATAGTTTGGAGTTTATATCTCAATTTTGAGGGTATTTTGGTAAAGATTAGACTTGATTTTGGCTGAATTTTAGATCGAAACTCGAAAAAGAAGAAGACATGACATACATTGTACTTACGAAATTGTAGTACAGTTGTAGTAAAATTGTAGAAAAACTGTATTATGTTGTTTGTATATTTTTTTATTTAAATATTGTTTGAAAGTTGAATAATACTTATATATAAAAATTGTGTTTAAGTTGTATGATATTGTAGTTGTATATAACTGGGTAAAAATAATGTATGAAAATTATAGATAAGTTGTATAATATATAATTAGTTGTATGAAATTTGTGTTTATTATGTATAAATCAGATACAAAATATACAAAAGACGTATTGTATGAAATTTGCATAAAATTGTATTTAAGTGGTATAATATTGTAGTTATATATAACTGGGTAGAAATAATGTATAAAAATTATAGATAAGTTGTAGATATAACTGTATGATATAAATTATTTCAACTTTTCATTTTTGACAGTATGAATGTTTGTTCATTGTCTTTTAATTAGATGTAATTTCTAGCTTGTGTAAATAGAATTGTTTCTACTTTGTTTGAGATGTACTCTAAAGTGAGAATTTGATAGAGTCTTAATTCTTATGCTCTGTTTTTTTCATTATCATGTTGAATTTCTACCTCATTGTTTTTTTACTTCCATTGGTTTTCTTTGGTTGGTTAAGCTACATATATAAGTTAGGTGTATTGGTTTGCATTACGCAGCTAAAAGTTTAAAAAGTACTTTATGCTGATTTGATATGGTACTAAATTTTAAAAAGAAAAAGTGAAATTACTGGAAATTTAATTGTTCATGGCATCACGCAGAGAGGTTGACAAATTAAATGAAAGGGCATAATTTCCGTAGCTATTTCCATCCCTTGTACAATTTTTAGCCTCTCAATATACTCATGCAAGGATATTGTTTGTACGTCGTTGAAGCTAGAAATTAAAGAAGGGATTTCAACTATTTACCAAAATTCTCGAGAGAAGAAAGTGAAGAGGAGAAAAAAAGGAAAATGGTCTAAATCCTTTGATTGAATGCACTAATAATGAATTGTGAGACTTTAAGGTGGAATATATATATATTTTGTAAACAAAACTTGTTTAGACCGGGTAATTAACTAAACATGAATATTTAGGATAATAAAGTTTCCAATAGTTTAAATTAATGTAAAAATACCTTAAAAATAAAGTAGGAGGTTAACAGATGACTTGGGAGTTGTGTATCGTACAGTAGTATTTATACCTCCAATTTTGAATGTATTCTTGTCGAGGAAAATGCTACTCGGACAAAATCTATATCAAGACATCCTAGTTATTCTAGATAAATGCAAGAGTCTTGCTCTACTCAAGCAATTGCAAGGCCATCTCATTACCACTGGTCATGGCCAAACGCAGCTTTATGCGTTCAAGCTTGTTCGTTTCTGCACCATCACTCTCTCAAACCTCCATTATGCTCGCTTAATCTTCAAATACCTTAATTTTCCCAATGTTTACCTTTATACTGCGATGATTACTGCATACACTTCCGTTCAAGATCATACATCATCTCTTTTGTTATACCGTGGAATGGTTCGTAATGGCTTGTCAAGGCCTAACCATTTTGTATTCCCTATAATCTTAAAGTCTTTCCCTGAAGTTATAAAGTCTTATGGGATTGAAATGGCGCATACCCATATTGACAAAATGGGTTTTGGAAAATGCCCTGTTGTTCAGACAGCTCTATTGGATGCTTATTCAAGGTCTTCGTCTGATATTAAAGTTGCACGGCAACTGTTTGATGAAATTACTGACAGGAATGTGGTTTCATGGACTGCGATGATATCAGGATATACTAGAGTTGGGCAAATGGGGGATGCTATTTTGCTTTTTGAAGAAACTCCTCAGTGTGTAAGAGACACTCCCTCGTGGAATTCCATAATTGCGGGGTGTACACAAAATGGGCTGTTTTCTGAGGCCATTTCATTTTTAAGAAGAATGATAGTTGAGGAAGGTATGGTTCAATGGAATAAGCCTAATGATGTTACATTTGCGTGTGTACTTGCTGCTTGTGGGCATACCGGAATGCTTCAGCTCGGAGAATGCATTCATGGGTATGTGTATCGGAATAGTGTTCATTTGAATTCACTTACTTTGAATGCTCTCATTGATATGTATGGTAAATGCGGGAGCTTGAGAGAAGCAAGATATCTTTTTGATAAGGCTAATAGGGGGAGTTTGACATGTTGTAATTCTATGATCAATTGTTTGGCCCTTCAAGGTCATTGGGAAGGTGCTATTGGAGTTTTTAAAGATATGTTGCAACATGGCGATGATTTAAAACCTGATTCAGTGACTTTTATTGGCTTGTTGAATGCTTGTACTCATGGAGGGTTGGTTCAAGAGGGGCTTAGTTATTATGACTTAATGACTAGGATATACGGAATTACTCCTGAAATTGAGCATTATGGGTGTTTAGTTGATCTTCTTGGTCGAGCAGGTCGGTTTGAGGAAATTATGGAAATTGTTAGAAATATGCACATAACTCCAGATGCTGTTATATGGGGTACCTTGCTTAACGGCTGCAAAATTCATGGGCGTATTGACTTGGCTGAATATGCACTGAAAAACTTGATTAGTATTGATCCAAATAATGGTAGTTATTACTCTATGCTGGCTAATTTATATGGGGAGTTGGGGAAGTGGGAAGAGGTTCGAAAAATAAGGAAGATCCTAAATCAGCAGAATGCTTATAAAGCTCGTGGTTGCAGTTGGATTGAGCTTGATAGCCAAGTTCATCAATTCTATTCAGTAGACAAATCTCACCCTAGAATGGAAGAGATATACTCAGTTTTGGAATATTTGGTTGATGCGCATTAGTATGTACCTTGCTGGCTTTAATGCTTGGTTGATGCGAATTATTATGTACCTTGCTGCTTTATTCTTTCCTAAGAAATTCTCATTTCCATATCCCTCTTATTATCATGATCTAATTTGATTTGGAATTCCTGAACACCAGTTGTTTCTTGATCTTTGACCTGTGCTGGTGTGTATGAAGCTTAGAGCATCCATGGTTTGTCTGGATCTTAACAATCAAGAGTTAAGAAATCATTGGTGGAACACTTTTCTGTTACTCTCTTCAAATCGAGCTTGAAGATAGTGTTATTTACTCTCTGCAGAGGACCTTCAAATTATGGAGTTATTCTAAGCTGCACAGAAAGAATGTACTGCTTATGATCTGAAAGAAAGAGGCAACTTGTTTTGGGGCACAAGAAATTGGAGCATAAACTTTCTCTTGTGAGATATGTTTGAAAGAAAAGTTGAAGATTCTCCGAAGTCTTAAATTATGTAGCCTCGGGGACTGTATGTTGAGGTCATGTGATAAATTCCTTTTTTTGAGCAACCTATTGGGAAGACAATAAAACCATCACTAGAAGCAAGTCGGTGTAAAGTAGGAATGCTCATTAATAACCAGTAAAAACGAGAAAATAAGGCAAAGACCGGGCAAAATAGATTCTAATCAAATTGAAGTGGTTTAGTAAATTGCGGCGTAAATAATTTTGTTATGCAGTCGTACACTTGTTACAATGATTTATCTTTTTTCCAAAACTCTAATACTATTATCTTCTTTATCGCTTAAGTCTGACAACTTTTAACTAGTGGTGCATGCAATTGTTTGACCAAATCAAGAGACTAGAAGGAAGGACCGGCTCGTTGCTGACTATACCTCGAATCACATGTCCGATATTTGCTAAGCACCTCTCGGTACTTTGCTGGTACCGATATCCGGATATGCACAAGAAGTATAAAAGTCTAGTACGAGCACAACTGACCCAATATACTCAATAAATGTCGAGCCTGATCCCGACAAAATAGTGACGAGGCTAAGATAAGACACCTACAATAAACCTGTACAGTAATATATCAAGAAGTAACGAAATAACATATAGATTATCAAATATAACAACATGATATTGACAAGTGAAAGGGATAATAAGTGCACTAGTAAAGGGGCATAAAACAACAACATAAAGTAAAGTTGCACTGAGTAAGCTTCTTTCAAAAGTAAATAACCAGATCACAAAGCCAAGTAATATCAAAGTAAGGAGCAATGAAATTAACAAAATTGCACGGCATCACCCTTCGCGCTTTTACTTTCATCGTCATATTATAATATAAAACTAATTGCATGTCATTACCCTTCGTGCTTTTACTCTCATCCTCACATTATAAAATAATAACAATTGCATGACATCCCTCTTCGTGCTTTTACTCTCATTCACACATTATAAAGTAATACCAAGCACGGAAATACGCTTCGTGCATATCCTCATGTTCACTCAAGCAATAATATCAATATATAAATAATACACAAAAATACCCTTCGTGCACAATCACTTTTCCTCACAAGCGCAATAACACCTTTCATGCATTTCACTCTTCCTCACTAAGAAATCACATACAACACATTACCAAGCAAGATGGGAAGCAAATTCACCATCAATAATAGTATTTGAACACAACTCATCATGTGAGAATTTTTCAACAATTAGTACCTACAACAAATAAACAATTCAACGATCTCAACACCGAATATCTCGATAATATCAACTTAGGAGATAACATAAATACGAGAAATTAAAGAATTACACAATCTATCTCAAGCATGAAAGACATAATACATAAATATCATGGAACAAATAAGGCTAATTCTACCTGCATGCTTATTCCACGACCAACGCATATACACTAGTTACCTTGCATATACGCCGCCTCCAACACATAAATCACCTAGCAAAAAGACTTGATTCTATCATATTTACCTTAAATCAAGATTAACCTAGACACTTACTGCGACGACCCGGCCAGTCATCTTATGAGTTACCACTCTATTTTTCCCATTTCTACTTCTTATTGCTTTATGTATCGATTCTATATGTGATCGGGTTGGTTGGCTCGGAAAGGATTTGGTAAGGTTTGAGACACTTAGTCTCTTTTGAGGAAGCTTAAGTTGGAAAAGTCAACCAGTTGAAGCCCCATGAGAAGAACTACCCCGTTCATGATTTGGAGTTGGCTGCCATTGTTCACGCATTGAAGATTTGGAGGTATTACTTGTATGGTGTGTCTTGTGAGGTGTTTACAGATCATCGTAGCCTCCAGCACTTGTTCAAGCAGAAGGATCTCAATTTGAGGCAGCAGAGGTGGTTGGAGTTGCTTAAGGATTATGATATCACTATATTATACCATTCGTGGAAGACCAATGTGGTGGCCGATGCTTTGATCTGAAAGGCGGTGAGTATGGGGAGTTTGGCATACATTCCAGTTGAGGAGAGACCTCTTGCAGTTGATGTTCATACCTTGGCCAATCGGTTCGTGAAGTTAGATATTTCGGAGCCCAGTCGTGTATTGGCTTGTGTTGTTTCTCGGCCTTCCTTATATGATCGCATCAGAGAGCGCCAGTATGATGATCTGCATTTGCTTGTCCTTAAGGACAAAGTTCAGCACGATGATGCCAGAGATGTCACTATTGGTAATGATGGGGTGTTGAGGATGCAGGGCCGGATATGTGTGCCCAAATGTGAATGGGCTTCAGGAGTTGATTCTGGAGGAGGCCCATACCTCGTGGTATTCCATTCATCCGGGTGCCTCGAAGATGTATTAGGATCTGAGACATCATTATTGGTGGAGGAGAATGAAGAAAGACATTGTGTGATTTGTAGCTTAGTGTCTCAATTGTCAGCAGGTTAAATATGAGCATCAGAGACCGGGTGGCTTGCTTTAGCAGATGGATATTCCATAGTGGAAGTGGGAGAGGATCACTATGGACTTTGTAGTTGAACTTCCACGGACTTTGAAATAGTTATATGCTATTTGGGTAATTGTGGATCAGCTGACCAAGTCCACGCACTTCATTCCTGTGTGTACTACTTATTCTTCAGAGCGGTTGGTAGAGATCTATATCCCGAAGATTGTTCGTTTGCATGGTGTCCCAGTTTCCATCATTTCAGATAGGGGCACTAAGTTTGCTTCACAGTTTTGGAGGTCTGTGCAGCGAGAGTTGGGTACTCAGATTGAGTTGAGCACAACTTTTCACCTTCAGACGGACGGGTAGTCCGGGCGCACTATTCAAATATTGGAGGACATGTTGCGTGCTTGTGTCATTGATTTCGGAGGGTCATGGGATTAGTTTCTACCGCTTGTAGAGTTTGCTTATAATAACAGCTACCAATCGAGTATTCAGATGGCTCCATATGAGGCTTTATATGGGAGGCAATGTAGATCTCTAGTTGGTTGGTCGGGTAAGGCTAGGCTATTGGGGACAGACTTGGTGCAGGATGCTTTAGAAAATGTGAAGGTAATTCAGGAGAGGCTCCATACCGTGCAGTCGAGGCAAAAGAGTTATGCTGGTAGGAAGGTTTGGGATGTGTCCTACATGGTCGGTGAGAAAGTTATGTTGAAGGTTTCGCCCATGAAAGGTGTTATGAGATTTGGGAAGAAAGGGAAATTGAGTCCTCGGTTCATTGGGCCTTTTGAGGTGCTTCAGAGGATTGAGGAAGTGGCTTATGAGCTTGCTTTGCCACCCAACTTGTCGAGTGTGCATCCGGTATTTCATGTTTCTATGCTACGAAAGTATATTGGAGATCCGTCTCATGTTCTGGATTTCAGCACGGTTCAATTGGATGGTGATTTGACTTATGATGTGGAGCCAGTAGCTATTTTGGAGCATCAGGTTCGAAAGTTGAGATCAAAGGATATAGCTTCAGTGAAAGTGCAGTGGAGAGGTCAGCCCGTGGAGGAGGCTACCTAGGAGACTGAGTGGGAGATGCAGAGCAAATATCCTCACCTGTTTGAGGCTTCATGTATGTTTCTTGGCTCATTCTAGGACGAACGTTTTTTAAGTTGGGGAGGATATGATGACCGGGTCAGTCGTCTCATGAGTTACCACTCCGTTTTCCCTATTTCTGCTTCTTAATGTTTTGCGTATCGGTTCTATATGTGATCGGGTTGGTTGGCTCGGATTCAGAAAGGATTTGGTAAGGTTTGAGACACTTAGTCTCTTTTGAGGAAGCTTAAATTGGAAAAGTCAATCGGATGTTGACTTATGTGTTAGAGGGCTCAGATGTGAGTTATGATGGTTCGGATAGCTTCGGGAGGTGATTTGGGACTTAGAAGCGTGATTGGAGTGTATTTTTGAGGTCCGGAGTAGATTTAGGCATGAGTTGGCGAAGTTGGTATTTTGGCGATTTTCGGTTGATAGGCGAGATTTTGATATAGTGGTCGGAATGGAATTCCGAGAGTTGCAGTAGTTCCGTTGTGTCATTTGGGATGTGTGTGCAAAATTTCAGGTCATTCGGACGTGGTTTGGTTGGGTTTTTGATCAAAAGCGTAATTTAGAAGATTTTTGGAAACTTAGGCTTGAATCTGATGTGTTTTGGCTGATTTAATGTTATTTGAGGTGTTTTGAAGATTGGTATAAGTTTGAATAAGGTTATGGAATATGTTTGTGCTTTTGGTTGAGGTCCCGGGGGCCTCGGGGTGATTTCGGATGGTTGACAGAGAGTTTGGAATTTGTGGTGAAGCTGCAGATTTTTTGCTTATGTTGTTTCCACATCTACGGATTGGGGACCGTTGGTGCAATGCCGCAGATGCGATGAAAGGGGCCGCAGAAGCGGAAAGGAGCTAGGAAGGCTGTGACCGCAGAAGCGGTTGGTGAACCGCACCTGCGATGGCGCATGTGCGACTTGTGCATCGCAGATGCAATTTTGGCCGTTTAAGTGAAAATTGCAGAAGCGGTTCAAGGACCGCAAATGCAGTACCGCAGATGCGAAATCCCTAGGCCAGAAGGTATAAATTGTTTCCTTCGTGGTTTTTGAGCTATTCCATCATTTCTAAGTCGGCTTTAGAGCTTTTTGGATGATTTTGAAGAAGGATTTCAAGGGGACTTCATTGAGGTAAGGATTTTGGACCTAAAACGCGTTCTTATGGTATTATTTCACGGATTAAAGCTATAATTAATGGAATTTAAGGGTTAAAATTGGGGAAACTAGGGCTTGGTATTGGAGACCTAGACTTGAGGATATGAGGGACCAATTATGGTCGGATTTTGGTACTTTTGACATGTATGAACTCGTGGGGAGATAAGGAACCTATTGATGTGAATTTTATCGAATTATGAGACGTGGGCCCAGGGGTCGGGTTTTGGTAATTTCGGGATTTAAGTTGTAAATTAATTATTTTTGCTTGGACTTCGTTCCCTTAGCATATTTTGATGTCGTGATTCTGATTTTGGATAGATTTGACGCGAGTGGAGGCGGATTCGAGGGGCAAAAGCGTCGCGGGCTAGAGTTTGGACCGGTTTGAGGTGAGTAATGATTGTAAATGATGTTCTGAGGGTATGAAACCCCGGATTGTACATCGTTGTGCTACATTGAGGTGACGCACACGCTAGATGACGAGCGTGGGGTCATGCACTGTTGGGGATTGTGACTTAGTCCATCCCGAAAGACTATTTTACCGCGTATTTAATTGAAAATTGTTTTCTATCATCATGTTTTGGGCTGAACGCCATATTTGGGCCTCGTGCCAACTATTTGAGCCCTTAGGGGATTTTTATTGATATTTTCTCACTGTTTTGACTTTATACTTGAACTCAATCATGCTATATTCTACTGTTTTCAAAACTCAGCCATGTTTACTCTACTTTAACACTTAAAATGATATTTTGGGCTGAGCACCATGTTTTACTATTGCCTGAGTGGCTTTTGAGATTCTGACTGAGTAAGGCCGAGAGCCTATGTTGTAAGGAAACACCTGATTATGATTATGAGGTCGATGACCTGAGATTTGTACGCCACGAGATGGCTTGTTGATATGAGACCGAGAGCCTAGTGATGATGCCACGAGATGGCTTGATATTGTGCTTGGGCTATAAGGGGCCTCTCTAGGAGTGTGCACACCCCCAGTGAGCGCAGGTACCTAGTGTGATGTGATAGATAGCCCGAGGGGCTGATGTTGTTCTATGATATTGCCTGCAGGGCAATCCTTTACGTGTTTATCTTTCATATCTGCCTGTCACTTGATTGCTTAATTGTTAAAAAGGCATTTTTATGAAGTCTTAAACTGAACTCAGTAATTTTTCACATCTTTACTGCTTCACTGTTTTTACCAGATTTTTACTACTTCCTTATAGCCTGTTATGTGCCTTACGTGTTTTCTTGCTCTTAGTCTTTATTGATGATTATTACTCACTGAGTTAGAGTACTCACTTTACTCCCTGCACCCCGTGTGTAGATTCTGGCATTATTGATCCTGCTAGCACGAGTTGAGAGCTTCCGGTAGACTTTGGAGTTCACGAGGTAGCTGCTTGGCATTCGCAATCCTGTGTTTCTCCCCCTTTATCTCATTTCTATCTCTTTTTCAGTTATTCTGTAATAGCTTGGTAGGCATTTTTAGACTTGTGGTGTATTGATAGATGCTCATGACTAGTGACACACCAGTATCAGGCTGTGTTGGATTTTATTTTTCTGCAAACTATAATGTTCACTGCTTACTTTTGGATTATTTACTACGTTTTAGACTTAATTCTTATTGTTTAATTTCTTAAAACTGAAATGGAAAAGTGTCGGCTTGCCTTGTCTTCATGTGAGGTGCCATTACGACCGGGTCCGAGTTTAGGGTCGTGACACTTACCTCTTTCCGGAACACAATCAATAATCCGACATGACTTTTCCTTTAGAACAAGCCTCCAAATCAATCGACCAGTCAAATATTATTCAAACAAGTCAAAACCTCTATTTTAAAAGGCAGAATTGGGACTCGTCCGGGCTCGCCTTGGGGCGGAGCACTCGTAAGATGCCCCTGGGCTTATGTGTGGGGCTTAGTTCCATGAGACTTACGCCTCGGCCATCGGGGCTTACACCCCGGACACACCCAACGCCCAGAGTACTGAGCTCGCCTAATAGAACTTTATGCAATTGTACGTAACTAACCTTTTAAATCCTCAAATTTTCTTAATAAATCGTTGACTATTCAAAATTACTTTTTATTAATGATAATTCATTAAGTTGAGAGTATTTTATGTCATAATTAAAACAAAAATTATTGCACATTATCCATTGAGACTGCTATGATAGTAAAGTTTAAATAAATCTTTCATTTAAAAAATTATTTATTTATTAACTTTTGTTATGTCTTTACTATATAATAGTCCATAATTTTTTTATAATTATTTTTCAAAATATTATTTTTTTCATGTTTGCGAGATACAATACTTATTAATTTAATAGCTCAGTATTAGCTAATAACTATTTACAAATAATTTATTATCATGGTATTGTATGGTGAATTATGTGTCACTTTATTAACTTGTTGAAACTTAAAAATAAATGATGCTAGAGAATCATTTTTAAATTGTGAATTATGTTTTTATATAAATTCTCTTCCAAATAAAAAGCATATTAAATAAAAGAAGTATTTTAAGTAAAATATCAAATTATAATATCGAAATTCTTTGAAGATTCATTACTCCTGAAGAGATACATATAAGATTTCGTATCGAATACATTACTTTAGATGTTTGAGTTGTAGCGACGTTGCAGCTAATTTGCATATTATGATATTTGTCATACTTTTCGTATTATTCGTAGTTGAATTATAATTTGTAAATATTTTAAATAGATTATTTGTTATAATTTTGTGATTTTGATGTAATTTTTATAATTATTTTTTTTATTTTATACTATCTTAAAATTCTTGAAATTAGTAAAATTTAAAGATCCGTGGGACTTACGCCCCATTTCTCAGGGCTTACGCCTCGCCTCGTAAGTGTAACGATACGACTAGTTATTTTGAGCATTTGCACTTCGCTCGCCAGTTCTCGGGTATGACTAGCCCCGTATGATGTATTATGACATATGTAAATCGTCGGTTTTGGTTTTCAGGATAATCAGAATAGATTTGGAAGAACAATTCTCAGCTTGAAGCTTTAAATTTTAAAGGTTTGACCAAATTTTGACTTTTTAGTATTCGATCTAGGATTTGGATTTCTATGATTTGGTTAGCTCCGTTAGGTGATTTTGAACTTGGGAGCGCGTACGGAATGTATTTTGGAGATCAATGGTAGATTTAGGCTCGAATTGGCAAAATAAAAAATTTGGCATTTTTCGGTCGGCACTGGAAATTTTGATATCGGGGTCGGAATGGAATTCCAGAAATTGGAGTAAGTCCGTTGTGTCATTTTTGACGTGTGTGCATGTCACGACCCGGATTTCCCACCCTCGGGAGTCGTGATGGAGGCTACTCGTAGAAGCTAGGCAAGCCATGAACTTAGAAATCATTAACTCCTTTATTTTAAAACTTCTTACCAATTATATTAACAAGGAAATAAACAGTTAGATAACAACGGAATATGAAATTTAGCGGAAGTCTTAAATAAATAGAAAACAAAAATGTCTCAAAGACCATCACGTGCCTCTACCAGAACCTGGTGTCACAACATCCACGGACTACTAAGAGTACTAAATACAACCATTTGAAAGGAATATAGCACTGTTTGTTTCGAATACATGAGATAACAGAATATGAAATAAGATAGAGGAGACGCCGGGCTTGCGGACACCTGCAAGGCTACCTCAGTGTCTCGGTGGACTGAAGGCAGGCTCCCGAGCTATTGCTGCTAACCAAAGGATACTCAGGTATCTGCACAGAGTGCAGAGTGTAGTATCAGCACAACCGACCCCATGTGCTGGTAAGTGCCTGGCCTAACCCCGATGAGGTAGTGATAAGGCTAGGACCAGACTCCAGATAAACCTGTGCAGTTATATAATATACAACGGAAATATAAACAGGTAATAACAATTTAAAAGGGAGTGGGAAACATGCTTCGGGGAAACATACCAATTCTATCAGAAACTTAATAAAGTATGAAAGAACACTCGATGTCTACAATCAATACGATAACAATACTGTTGTGGCGTGCAACCCGATCCAATATAATATCCGTTGCGGAGTGCAACCCGATCCATATATGTAACTGTTGCGGCATGCAACCCGATCCAATATAATATCTGTTGCAGCGTGCAACCCGATCCACATATATAACTGTTGCGGCGTGCAACCCGATCCACATATATAATTGTTGCGGCGTGCAACCCGATCCATTATATACAATCAACAATAATCATAATTAACCGTCGCGACAAGGGAGAAACAACCATAACCAAACCTGTTCCAACATCTAACTATCTCAACTATAACTCAACTAGTTTCAACATCTAACTACCTCAGCTATAACTAAACTTGTTACAACACCTAACACGAAGAATCATCAACTTAAGCGTCCATAATATCAATTAAGAACACCATGTAAGGGAACCTCAACTCAACAATAGCCCGGCAAGGGTGCAACATAATGATCTCTTCTCTTTCTCACTTTTACTTCACAATTCACTGCACAACTCGAGCCAATGCTCTAAGGTTTCGATTATCACTTATACTTTCACGATTCGTTATACAACTGGAGCCAACGCTCCTCAATGTTCATAGGTCACAATTCTTTCCACAACTTTACACAATAAATAGAGATCTTCACCAAGGCATGAATAATACAACGAGATCATGAAAATCACAAGATAAGACTCACGGTCATGTTTGACACCAACGTATAGATACTCGTCACCATGCCTATACGTCGTACTCGACAAGAAGCAAATAGCAAATAGGACACAACTCCTAATCCCTCAAGCTAAGGTTAGACCAAACACTTATCTCGATGTCTCGAACACAACTCAAGCTTCAATTATAGCTTTACCTCTTGATTCACCGCCAATTCAATCGTATGTAGTAACAAATAACTTAATTACATCAATAAACGCTAAATGAATCAACCCCAATGCATGAAAATGAGTTTTCCAAAGTTTTACCCAAAAAGTCAAAAATTGCCCCCGAGCCCACATGGTCAAAACCCGAGATTCGAACCAAAACCCGATTACCCATTCCCCTACGAACCCAAATATATGATCTGTTTTGCTCAAATCGAGGTCCAATCCCCAATTTTTGAAAAACCCAAGTTCTACCCAAAACACCCAATTTTCCCCATGAAAATCATTGATTTGAAGTTGAAATCATGTTAAAAGATATTAATGATAAAAGAAAACTAGTTAAAAACGACTTACAATTGATTTGGAGAAGGAAGGTTGTTTGAAAAATCGCCTCTTATGTTTTTGGGGTTTTGAAAACTGAAAAATGACTGAAAATCCCGTCTATTTATACCCCTCTCAGACCACCTATGAGGATCGCACAAAATGGACTGCGGCCACACAAGCCTTCCTGAAGTGCCGCAGTCCAGTACCCTATGCGGACCGCACGAAATGGACCGCGGCCGCACAGGTCTCCACCGCGCTCCGCACGAAACCGACCGCGGACCGCACGACAGTGCCCTGTGTTGACCGTATAAAGCCGACCGCGGCCTCACAACCTTCACCGCGCACCGCACAAGGTCGACCGCGGACCGCACTGGTGGGGTTCAGAGACCTACCATTTTTTTTTTCTGGTTTTAAGCCTAAAACATCCTGAAGCCTACCTGAAACTCACCCGAGCCCTTGGAACTCCAAATCAAGTGCACACAAAACCTCAAGAACATCCTACGGACTTATTCGTGTAATCAAATCATCAAAATAACATCATGAGCATCAAATCAAATCTCAAGATCAATGAAATCTTCTGAAAACTTCTTTAAACATCAACTTTGCAATTTAAGTCCAAATCACGCCATATGACATCCGTTTTTCACCAAATTCCACAGAAATGTCTTAAATCATATATAAGACCTGTACTGGGAGCCGGAACCAAAATACAGGCCCGATACCATCATGTTCTAATCAAATTTCATTTCAAATTTTCTTAAATAATTTCAGAAAACAATTTTCTTTGAAAATTCTTTTCTCAGGCTCGGAACCTCAAAATTTGATTCCGGGCATACGCCCAAGTCCCATATTTTCCTACGGACCTTCCGGTACCGTCAAATCATGGGTTCGGGTCCATTTACCCAAAACGTTGATGGAAGTCAAATTAGCTCATTTTATAATCAAAACTTATCATTTTTTTCATAGATTATCATATTTAAGCTTTCGAACTACGCGCCCAAACTTCGCATGTAGATCAAGGTGACTCTAAATGAGGTTTTCAAGGCCTCAAAACATGGAGTTTTGTTTTTAAAACAAGTGATGACCTTTTGGGTCATCACATTCTCCACCTCTAAAACAACTGTTCGTCCTCGAACGGACAAGAAGTACCTGAGTCGGGGAAATGATGGGGATAACGGCTTCGCATATCGGGCTCAGACTCCCAGGTCGATGCCTCAAGAGGCTGACCTCTCCACTGAACATGAACAGAAGGAAAACTCTTCGACCTTAACTGGCGAACCTGGCGATCTAGAATAGCCACCGGCTCCTCCTCATAAGACAAGTCCTTGTCCAACTGGACAGTGCTGAAATCTAACACGTGGGATGGATCGCTGTGATATTTCTGAAGCATGGACACATGAAACACTGGATGCACGACTGATAAGCTCGGCGGCAATGCAAGTCTATAAGCCACCTCTCCCACTCGATCAAGAATCTCAAACGGACCGATGAACCTAGGGCTAAGCTTGCCCTTCTTCCCAAATCTCATCACGCCCTTCATAGGCGACACTCGGAGCAATACCCGCTCTCCAACCATAAAAACCACATCTCAAACCTTGCGGTCTGCATAACTCTTTTGCCTGGACTGAGCTGTACGAAGCCTATCGTGAATAATCCTAACCTTGTCCAAAGCCTCTTGAACCAGATCCGTACCCAACAATCAAGCCTCCCCCGACTCAAACCATCCAACCGGAGATCGACACCGCCTACCATATAAAGCCTCATAAGGGGCCATCTGGATAATCGACTGGTAACTATTGTTGTAGGCAAACTCTGTTAAAGGCAAAAACTGATCCCACGAGCCTCCAAAGTCAATGACACAAGCTCGAAGCATATCCTACAAAATCTGAATAGTCCGCTCGGACTGCCCGTCCGTCTGAGGATGAAATGTTGTGCTCAACTCAACCTGCATACATAACCCTCGTTGAACTACTCTCCAAAAATGGGAGGTAAACTGCGTACCTCGGTCCGAAATGATAGACACAGGCACTCCATGAAGACAAACAATCTCCCGGATATAGATCTTAGCTAACCTCTCGGATGAATAGAAGACTGCCACATGAATGAAATGCGCTGACTTGGTCAGCCTATCAACAATGACCCATCCTGCGTCGAACTTCCTCCAAGTCTGCGAGAGTCCAACAACGAAATCCATAGTGATCCGCTCCCACTTCCCCTGGGAAAGCTCAATTCTTTGAAATAAACCACCAGGCCTCTGATGCTCGTACTTAACCTGCTGACAATTCAAACACTGAGCTACATATGCAACGATATCCTTTTTCATTCTCCGCCACCAATAATGCTGTCGCAAATCTTCATACATCTTCGCGGTGTCCGAATGAATAGAGTACCGGGAGCTATGGGTCTCCTCTAAAACCATCTCCCGAAGTCCATCCACATTTGGCGCACACACTCGACCCTGCAATCTCAAAACTCCATCATCATCTTGGGTAACCTGCTTGGCACTTTCGCGCTGCACCGTGTCTCTAAGGACGCACAAATGGGGATCATCACACTGCCGATCACTGATACGCTCCAATAAAAAAGAACGAGCGACCGTGCAAGCTAATACCCGACTAGGCTCAGAAATATCCAACCTCACGAACCGATTGGCCAAGGCCTGAACATCCAAAGCAAGCGGCCTCTCATCGACCGAAATATAAGCAAGACTGCCCATACTGGCTGACTTCCTACTCAAGGCATGGCCTTTCCCGGATGATATAAGATGGTGATATCATAATATTTTAGCAACTCCAACCACCTCCTCTACCTCAAATTCAACTCCTTTTGTTTGAACAAATACTGAAGACTCTTGTGATCTGTGAACACCTCACCTTCCACGCCATACAGATAATGCCTCCAAATCTTCAACGCGTGAACAATGGCTGCCAACTCCAAATCATGAACCGGATAGTTCTTCTCATGAATCTTCAACTGCTGCAAATCATAGGCAATGACCTTTCCATCCTGCATCAACACTGCACCAAGTCCAATGCGAGATGCATCACAATAGACTGTATAAGGCCTTGAACCTATGGGCAAAACCAACACTGGTGCCGTAGTCAGAGCTGTCTTGAGCTTCTGAAAGCTCGCCTCACACTCATCCGACCCTCTGAACTAGGCACCATTCTCGGTTAACCTGGTCATCGGGGCTGCAATGGATGAAAACCCCTCCACGAACCGACGATAGTAACCTGCCAATCCCAAGAAACTCCAAATCTCTATAGCTAATGTTGGTCTAGGCCAGTTCTTGACTGCCTCAATCTTCTTTGGATCAACCTGAATACCCTATGCGGACACAACATGACCTAGGAATGCAACTGAACTCAACCAGAACTCACACTTCGAAATTTAGCATACAATTGACTATCCCTCAGAGTCCGAAGAACCACTCTGAGATTCTGCTCATGCTCCTCCTGACTACAGGAATATATCAAAATATCATCAGTGAAGACTATCACGAACGAGTCTAAATAAGGCCTGAAAATTCGGTTCATCAAATCCATAAAAGC